CTGCGGTAACTCTGTACTCAGTATCGCAACGTATAGTAACACTTACATATACGCCTGTGGTAACTCTGTACTCAGTATCGCAACGTATAGTAACACTTACATATACAAAGGTGGTAACTCTGTACACAGTATGGCAACTTATAGTAACACTTACATACACAAATGTGGTAACTGTGTACTCAGTATCGCAACGTATAGTAATACTTACATAGACGCCTGTGGTAACTCTGTAGCCAGTATCGCAACGTATAGTAACACTTACATATACGCCTGTGGTAACTATGTACTCAGTGTCGCAACGTATAGTAACGCTTACATATACGCATGTGGTAACTCTGTACTCAGTATCGCAACGTATAATAATACTCACATAACGCCTGTGGTAACTCTGTACTCAGTATCGCAACGTATAGTAACACTTACATATACGCCTGTGGTAACTATGTACTCAGTGTCGCAACGTATAGTAACACTTACATATACGCCTGTGGTAACTCTGTACTCAGTGTCGCAACGTATAGTAACACTTACATATACGCATGTGGTAACTGTGTACTCAGTATCGCAACGTATAGTAACACTTACATATACGCCAGTGGTAACTCTGTACTCAGTATCGCAACGTATAGTAACACTTACATATACGCATGTGGTAACTGTGTATTCAGTATCGCAACGTATAGTAACACTTACATATACAAATGTGGTAACTCTGTACTCAGTATCGCAACGTATAGTAACACTTACATATACGCCTGTGGTAACTCTGTACTCAGTATCGCAACGTATAGTAACACTTACATATACGCATGTGGTAACTGTGTATTCAGTATCGCAACGTATAGTAACACTTACATATACAAATGTGGTAACTCTGTACTCAGTATCGCAACGTATAGTAACGCTTACATATACGCATGTGGTAACTCTGTACTCAGTATCGCAACGTATAATAATACTCACATAACGCCTGTGGTAACTCTGTACTCAGTATCGCAACGTATAGTAACACTTACATATACGCATGTGGTAACTGTGTACTCAGTATCGCAACGTATAGTAACACTTACATATACAAATGTGGTAACTCTGTACTCAGTATCGCAACGTATAGTAACACTTACATATACGCATGTGGTAACTGTGTACTCAGTATCGCAACGTATAGTAACACTTACATATACGCCTGTGGTAACTCTGTACTCAGTATCGCAACGTATAGTAACACTTACATATACGCCTGTGGTAACTCTGTACTCAGTATCGCAACGTATAGTAACACTTACATATACGCCTGTGGTATCTTTGTACTCAGTGTCGCAACGTATAGTAACGCTTACATATACGCATGTGGTAACTCTGTACTCAGTATCGCAACGTATAATAATACTCACATAACGCCTGTGGTAACTGTGTACTCAGTATCGCAACGTATAGTAACACTTACATATACAAAGGTGGTAACTCTGTACACAGTATAGCAACTTATAGTAACACTTACATACACAAATGTGGTAACTGTGTACTCAGTATCGCAACGTATAGTAATACTTACATAGACGCCTGTGGTAACTCTGTACTCAGTATCGCAACGTATAGTAACACTTACATATACGCCTGTGGTAACTATGTACTCAGTGTCGCAACGTATAGTAACACTTACATAGACGCCTGTGGGAACTCTGTAGCCAGTATCGCAACGTATAGTAACACTTACATATACGCCTGTGGTAACTCTGTACTCAGTGTCGCAACGTACAGTAACACTTACATATACGCATGTGGTAACTGTGTACTCAGTATCGCAACGTATAGTAACACTTACATATACAAATGTGGTAACTCTGTACTCAGTATCGCAACGTATAGTAACACTTACATATACGCATGTGGTAACTGTGTACTCAGTATCGCAACGTATAGTAACACTTACATATACAAATGTGGTAACTCTGTACTCAGTATCGCAACGTATAGTAACACTTACATATACGCCTGTGGTAACTCTGTACTCAGTATCGCAACGTATAATAATACTCACATAACGCCTGTGGTAACTCTGTACTAGGTGTCGCAACGTATAGTAACGCTTACATATACGCATGTGGTAACTCTGTACTCAGTATCGCAACGTATAATAATACTCACATAACGCCTGTGGTAACTCTGTACTCAGTATCGCAACGTATAGTAACACTCACATATACGCCAGTGGTAACTCTGTACTCAGTATCGCAACGTATAGTAACACTTACATATACAAATATGGTAACTCTGTACTCAGTATCGCAACGTATAGTAACACTTACATATACGCCTGTGGAAACTCTGTACTCAGTGTCGCAACGTATAGTAACACTCACATATACGCTTGTGGTAACCCTGTACTCAGTATCGCAACGTATAGTCACACTCACATAACGCCTGTGGTAACTCTGTGCTCAGTATCGCAACGTATAGTAACACTTACATATACGCCTGTTGAAACTCTGTACTCAGTGTCGCAACGTATAGTAACACTTACATATACGCATGTGGTAACTGTGTACTCAGTATCGCAACGTATAGTAACACTTACATATACAAATGTGGTAACTCTGTACTCAGTATCGCAACGTATAGTAACACTTACATAACGCCTGTGGTAGCTCTGTGCTCAGTATCGCAACGTATAGTAACACTTACATATACGCCTGTGGAAACTCTGTACTCAGTGTCGCAACGTATAGTAACACTCACATATACGCTTGTGGTAACCCTGTACTCAGTATCGCAACGTATAGTCACACTCACATATACGCCTGTGGTAACTCTGTTCTCAGTATCGCAACGTATAGTAACACTCACATACGCCTGTGGTAACTCTGTACTCAGTATCGCAACGTATAGTAACACTTATATATACGCATGTGGTAACTCTGTACTCAGTATCGCAACCTTTTAGTAACACTTACATATCCAGATGTGGTAACTCTGTACTCAGTATCGCAACGTATAGTAACACTTACATATACGCCTGTGTACAACTCTGTTACAACGTACGGTTTCACTTGGATATGTGTGCTGCGGTGACCCTCTACGCAATTTTACAACGTACGGTTACACTTACATATGTGGCTGTGGTGACCCTCTAGGCAATGTTACAACGTATTGCTACACTTACATATGTTTGCTGCGGTGACCCTCTACGCAATGTTACAACGTATGGTTAAACTTGCATATGTGGCTGTGGTGACCCTCTACGCAATGTTACAACGTATGGTTACCCTTACATATGTGGCTGTGGTGACCCTCTGCGCAATGTTAAAACGTATGGTTAGACTTACATATAAGGGTGTGGTGACCCTCTACGCAATGCTACAACGAATGGTTACACTTACATATGTGGCTGTGGTGACGCCCTACGCAATGTTACAACGTATGGTTAGACTTACATATGTGGCTGTGGTGACCCTCTACGCAATGCTACAACGTATGGTTAGACTTACATATATGGGTGTGGTGACCCTCTACGCAATGTTACAACGTATGGTTACACTTACATATGTGGCTGTGGTGACCCTCTACGCAATGTTACAACGTATGGTTAGACTTACATATATGGGTGTGGTGACCCTCTGCGCAATGTTAAAACGTATGGTTAGACTTACATATATGGGTGTGGTGACCCTCTACGCAATGTTACAACGTATGGTTACACTTACATATGTGGCTGTGGTGACCCTCTGCTCAATGTTAAACGTATGGTTAGACTTACATATATGGGTGTGGTGACCCTCTGCGCAATGCTACAACGTATGGTTACACTTACATATGTGGCTGTGGTGACCCTCTACGCAATGTTACAACGTATGGTTACACTTACATATATGGGTGTGGTGACCCTCTACGCAATGTTACAACGTATGGTTACACTTACATATGTGGCTGTGGTGACCCTCTACGCAATGTTACAACGTATGGTTACACTTACATATGTGGCTGTGGTGACCCTCTGCGCAATGTTACAACGTATGGTTACCCTTACATATGTGGCTGTGGTGACCCTCTGCTCAATGTTAAAACGTATGGTTAGACTTACATATATGGGTGTGGTGACCCTCTGCTCAATGTTACAACGTATGGTTAGACTTACATACGTGGCTGCGGTGACCCTCTGCTCAATGTTAAACGTATGGTTAGACTTACATATGTGGCTGTGGTGACCCTCTGCTCAATGTTACAACGTATGGTGTTAGACTTACATATATGGGTGTGGTGACCCTCTACGCAACGCTACAACGTATGGTTACCCTTACATATGTGGCTGTGGTGACCCTCTGCTCAATGTTAAAACGTATGGTTAGACTTACATATGTGGCTGTGGTGACCCTCTGCTCAATGTTAAAACGTATGGTTAGACTTACATATATGGATGTGGTGACCCTCTACGCAATGCTACAACGTATGGTTACCCTTACATATGTGGCTGTGGTGACCTTCTACGCAATGTTACAACGTATGGTTAGACTTACATATATGGGTGTGGTGACCCTCTGCGCAATGCTACAACGTATGGTTACACTTACATATGTGGCTGTGGTGACCCTCTACGCAATGCTACAACGTATGGTTACACTTACATATGTGGCTGTGGTGACCCTCTACGCAATGTTACAACGTATGGTTACACTTACATATATGGGTGTGGTGACCCTCTACGCAATGTTAAAACGTATGGTTAGACTTACATATGTGGCTGTGGTGACCCTCTGCGCAATGTTACAACGTATGGTTAGACTTACATATATGGGTGTGGTGACCCTCTACGCAATGCTAAAACGTATGGTTACCCTTACATATGTGGCTGTGGTGACCCTCTGCTCAATGTTAAAACGTATGGTTAGACTTACATATATGGGTGTGGTGACCCTCTGCGCAATGCTACAACGTATGGTTACACTTACATATGTGGCTGTGGTGACCCTCTACTCAATGTTACAACGTGTGCTTACACTTACATATATGGCTGTGGTGACGCTTGACGGCGCGCCACTTCACTCGATGGTAACATCAGCAGCACCTCCAAGTGAATCCTGGATGGTACGTGCTGTTTGTTGTGGGTCTCCCGCCAGAACAATGTGGTCAGTGCCCACCCTCTTTGCATATTTCAGTCTGTCTTCATTGATATCTGCAATAGGAAAGTACATACGTGTCTTTTGATGCTCTTGTGAAGAGCGAGTGACTGAGTGAGTCGGGTTTAATGCCACTTCGAACAGTTTTCCAGTTGTATCATGATGTTCCAGATTTGTGTGGAAGGAAAGCCCAAAGTGGTGCAGATCATTACATTGTGAACCACAAAACGACTCACGACTGAATTCGGAACGCCGCGCAGTGTTAGCCACAACTCATTATTCATGGATACCGATATACTGGTATACAAAATGTACCAACTGGTGGTTTTTAGGCCTGTAGCTCACAGAATATATCTTCTAATAGAGGGAAGGTGAGGTGAAGTGAAGTGGGGTTTAACGTCACGTACAAGATCATTGCACTTAAAAAGCGACGTACATGCACGCGTATGTGTTGCTACTTGTACCAGTCCGGACTGATGCCGATTTTATAGTGCTAGCTCGCTGACAATGCCGCAGTTTGACACTCAAACACAGTATACTGACTCAGAGCCGACCAGTCCTTGTTTTAGCCACTTAATGCCGAGTGTCAGGCAGGGTAACAACAAGTACCATCTTTTATCGTCCTTTCGCCGGGGATCGAACCCCGACCTTCCGCTCTCTGGACGGAATCGGTCTTAATAGACTGAAGTGGAGACCAAGGATTTTAACAAACCTGTTATTAATATTTTGGATGCTCCCCGTGCACGTGCCGTTAACATACAGAGAAGGCCAACAGGACCTGCAGTGATATAGGAGTTGACATGAAAGTACAGTTTACGCAGAATGTAAAAACACACTAGCACCATGCATAGTATGTATAGTACAAACACACTAGCACCATGCATAGTATGTATAGTACAAAAACACTAGCACCATGCATAGTATGTATAGTACAAACACACTAGCACCATGCATAGTATGTATAGTACAAACACACTAGCACCATGCATAGTATGTATAGTACAAACACACTAGCACCATGCATAGTATGTATAGTACAAACACACTAGCACCATGCATAGTATGTATAGTACAAACACACTAGCACCATGCATAGTATGTATAGTACAAACACACTAGCACCATGCATAGTATGTATAGTACAAACACACTAGCACCATGCATAGTATGTATAGTACAAACACACTAGCACCATGCATAGTATGTATAGTACAAACGCACTAGCACCATGCAAAGTATGTATAGTACAAACACACTAGCACCATGCATAGTATGTATAGTACAAACGCACTAGCACCATGCATAGTATGTATAGTACAAACACACTAGCACCATGCATAGTATGTATAGTACAAACACACTAGCACCATGCATAGTATGTATAGTACAAACACACTAGCACCATGCATAGTATGTATAGTACAAACACACTAGCACCATGCATAGTATGTATAGTACAAACACACTAGCACCATGCATAGTATGTATAGTACAAACACACTAGCACCATGCATAGTATGTATAGTACAAACACACTAGCACCATGCATAGTATGTATAGTACAAACACACTAGCACCATGCAAAGTATGTATAGTACAAACACACTAGCACCATGCATAGTATGTATAGTACAAACACACTAGCACCATGCATAGTATGTATAGTACAAACACACTAGCACCATGCATAGTATGTATAGTACAAACACACTAGCACCATGCACAGTATGTATAGTACAAACACACTAGCACCATGCACAGTATGTATAGTACAAACACACTAGCACCATGCATAGTATGTATAGTACAAACACACTAGCACCATGCATAGTATGTATAGTACAAACACACTAGCACCATGCACAGTATGTATAGTACAAACACACTAGCACCATGCATAGTATGTATAGTACAAACACACTAGCACCATGCATAGTATGTATAGTACAAACACACTAGCACCATGCATAGTATGTATAGTACAAACACACTAGCAGCATACATGGGATGTACAACACAAACGTTTTATGAGAAGATAACTATTATTGTAAGATCAAGGATCTTGTTTCTCATATGTAATGATAGGGAACTTACTCGCAACACTTCAAATGGCCAACAATATTAAATCAATAGCGAGCCTTTGAAGAATAGGACTCATTGGAATCAGGTTTGACCGACCTCTGTATGGCTTGAGTGAGTAATGTGAGGTAATGTGAACTCACATAAAGAATTGAAAATGTCATTCTGAAAACACATATATCATTACCCCGTGCGTTGTATTGAAAACCCAACTCGTGTAGGGCGATGTTGATGTAGATGATGTTGATGGGCTATTCTGAGGGCTGTTAGGGGAGCATTGATCGAATCTTGTATGTCTTCTCTGTTGCGACAGCAGTCGATATACTGATCGCCGCATCACTCCTTTGTCAAAACTAGAAAGTTTATGTTTTCGCCAAGTTGTGGCCTATTCCTGCTTTGTTATATTTACAATGGCAAACATTTGATGGCATGTGGTGTGGGACTTATAGGTAATGGATGCAGTAATACTGTCAAGTGTCTGGTTTTAGGGTGGTAACAACATCGCCTACCTGTGTCAAGTGTCTGGTTTTAGGGTGGTAACAACATCGCCTACCTGTGTCAAGTGCATGGCTAGTAACAACATCGCTTACCTGTGTCAAGTATGTGTCTTGGAACTGGTAACAGCAACGCCTACCTGTGTCAAGTGCATGGCTAGTAACAACATCGCTTACCTGTGCCAAGTATGTGTCTTGGAACTGGTAACAGCAACGCCTACCTGTGTCAAGTGCATGGCTAGTAACAACATCGCCTACCTGTGTCAAGTGCATGGCTAGTAACAACATCGCTTACCTGTGTCAAGTATGTGTCTTGGAACTGGTAACAGCAACGCCTACCTGTGTCAAGTTGCATGGCTAGGGGCTAGTAACAACATCGCCTACCTGTGTCAAGTATGTGTCTTGGAACTGGTAACAGCAACGCCTACCTGTGTCAAGTTCGTTGCTTGGGGCTGGTAACAACATCGCCTACCTGTGTCAAGTATGTGTCTTGGAACTGGTAACAGCAACGCCTACCTGTGTCAAGTTCGTTGCTTGGGGCTGGTAACAACATCACTTACCTGTGTCAAGTGCGTGGCTTGGGGCTGGTAACAACATCGCCTACCTGTGTCAAGTATGTGTCTTGGAACTCGTAACAGCAACGCCTACCTGTGCCAAATGCATGGCTAGGGGCTGGTAACAACATCGCCTACCTGTGTCAAGTATGTGTCTTGGAACTGGTAACAGCAACGCCTACCTGTGTCAATTGCATGGCTAGGGGCTAGTAACAACATCGCCTACCTGTGTCAAGTGTGTTGCTTTGGGGCTAGTAACAACATCGCCTACCTGTGTCAAGTATGTGTCTTGGAACTGGTAACAGCAACGCCTACCTGTGTCAAGTTGCATGGCTAGGGGCTAGTAACAACATCGCCTACCTGTGTCAAGTATGTGTCTTGGAACTGGTAACAGCAACGCCTACCTGTGTCAAGTTCGTTGCTTGGGGCTGGTAACAACATCACTTACCTGTGTCAAGTATGTGTCTTGGACCTGGTAACAGCAACGCCTACCTGTGGCAAGTTCGTTGCTACGGGCTGGTAACAACATCGCCTACCTGTGTCAAGTGCACGGCTAGGGGCTAGTAATAACATCGCCTACCTGTGTCAAGTATGCGTCTTGGAACTGGTAACAGCAACGCCTACCTGTGTCAAGTTGCATGGCTAGGGGCTAGAAACAACATCGCCTACCTGTGTCAAGTATGTGTCTTGGAACTGGTAACAGCAACGCCTCCCTGTGTCAAGTGAGTTGCTTGGGGCTAGTAACAACATCGCCTACCTGTGTCAAGTATGTGTCTTGGACCTGGTAACTGCAACGCCTACCTGTGTCAAGTGCGTAGCCTGGGGCTGGTAAAAACATTGCCTACCTATGTCAAGTATGTGTCTTGGAACTGGTAACAGCATCGCCTACCTGTGTCAAGTGCGTTGCTTGGAGCTGGTAACAACATCACCTACCTGTGTCAAGTATGTGTCTTGGAACTGGTAACAACATCGCTTACATGTGTCAAGTGCGTGGCTTGGGGCTGGTAACAACCTCGCCTGCCCTGTCAAGTGCGTGGCTTGGGGCTGGTAACAGCACCGCCTACCCTGTCAAGTACGTGGCTTGGGGCTGGTAACAGCATCGCTTCCATGTGTCAAGTGCGTGGCTTAGATCTGTTAACAACATCGACCAGATGTGTCAAGTATGTGGCTTGGAGCTACCTACCTGTGGTATCAAGTGTGTGGCTTAGGGGTGGTAACAACATCGCCTACCTGTGTCAAGTGTGTAGCTCGGGTTTGGTAACAGCTTCGCTTACCTGTGTCAAGTTGTGGCTTGGAGCTGGTAACAACATCGCCTACCTGCGTGTAGTGCAAGGCTTTGGGGTGGTAACACCATCGCCTACCTGCGTCAAGTGGGTAGCTCAGGTTTGGTAACAACATCGCCTACCTGCTCCACACACGAGCACTGTGGCTCCCAGGTAGACGTTGACACGGTTACAGGCGTGGACAGCAACAGCCAGAAAAGACAAAGAATGGTCTCATCAGAGTCGAAGACAGAACAGAACAGAAGACCACGAACCAAAGAGGAACAAGCTTCAGCACAAACTTCTCCCAAGATCTTAATATGATCCTAACACCTCATGATATTGCCAAAGACCTGAAGCACAAATATATTATTAGAATAAATTAGCGTGGGAGAGACTACGTTGTTGTTGGGGACAACCTTACAGAATCAACTGACATGCCCAAAAGCATTAATGAAAGCAATCTAAAATGGGATACCCCAAAGTGCGCTGTAAACCAAAAGAAAATCAGTCAAGCAACAATCCTATTGGCGTTCAGGATCAAATCAATGGGCACGACATGCACATGAGTAGTAATCCTCACATTACTAGGCCAGTCAGTCCTAGACCGCCTTAATCTAGGTGGTAAGGGCATAGAAACTATGCCATACAGGAAAAGGCCAACCCAATGCACAAACTGTATGCTCTATGGGCACACGAAAACATCATCAGCAAACGCATAAATAATACGCCTACTCGGCAATCTGTATCCAAATCTATTCAACTCACTGAGGTAAAAAAAACACACACACAAAAACAAGCGACTACTTATTGCATTTAGTACTTACTACTAAATGGCTACATTGCGCTTATCCAAAGCATAGGCTACTTACTGCTGTAACTCAATCACCCCTGTAACTAAATGACCCCCGGGTCAGCACGTGGCTTGGGGCTGGTAACAACCTCGCCTACCCTGTCAAGTGCGTGGCTTGGGGCTGGTAACAGCATCGCCTACCCTGTCAAGTGCGTGGCTTGGGGCTGGTAACAGCATCGCTTCCATGTGTCAAGTGCGTGGCTTAGATCTGTTAACAACATCGACCAGATGTGTCAAGTATGTGGCTTGGAGCTACCTACCTGTGGTATCAAGTGTGTGGCTTAGGGGTGGTAACAACATCGCCTACCTGTGTCAAGTGTGTAGCTCGGGTTTGGTAACAGCTTCGCTTACCTGTGTCAAGTTGTGGCTTGGAGCTGGTAACAACATCGCCTACCTGCGTGTAGTGCAAGGCTTTGGGGTGGTAACACCATCGCCTACCTGCGTCAAGTGGGTAGCTCAGGTTTGGTAACAACATCGCCTACCTGCTCCACACACGAGCACTGTGGCTCCCAGGTAGACGTTGACACGGTTACAGGCGTGGACAGCAACAGCCAGAGGCTGCAACATGGCTCCCTCCTCCATGCTCACGTTGTCTGGAAGTCTGGGTTGTAAAACAAAGTGTGGTATCATTATCATTACACGTTAAATAATAGTTCTTTGATTGGCAATATGGATGGATGGATGGATGTCATGATGTCATAATATTTAATGTGACGACACCTGCTTGTGACACATCACAACTGACCTTGTTCGGACTTCTAGTTACAAAGTGAGAGTTCGATTGCGAGTTCAAGATAGTTCTTGTCACATACACTGAAGTAATCATTACTTATTCATTGTAAGGTGGTTACCTATTCATGGTTACTTTGAACTGTGTCAGTAGAAGGTTTACTTCGGTCTACTGTGTCTGAAAGACGTTTCAGCTTTAGACACATGTAACTCGTACCAGAAGAGCTATTAAATATCTGGCTATCTGACTGACCAAACACCGTCTTGTAAGTGACCGGTCTGTACGGACGGATGGCCAAGTTGGCAGTATTTATTTCAAAGCGGAGTCCGGATTTGAAGTTCGCGAAAGGTCATTTTGACGTGATGTCCATCTGGTTTTAATGTGATTGGTTATGTTTTACAGCAGAAGGTCTCATGGTACACAGGTTTATTCACCTCGTCAAGTGCAAAAAAAGTAGTATTACAACTCATAGCAGTGTAAGTAGGGGTTAGTTGTTGTTGTTGCTTCAAGTGTTTTAGAGGTCGCCTTCTGCCTTAGCAATTTCGCCGAAGCTGTCCCTCATGGGACTCATGTGTGTGAGTAGGGTACAGATATCTATTGCGAGTTTTAGTATTCACAGAATTTCTGTTTTTGTATTGATATGATTTCTATTTTCGTATATTGATATGATTTCATTTTTATCTTTGACTGCTATGTTTATATTCACTCTTCAAAAAAGGAAACGCACTGGTAGATTTTTAGTAAATGTATTGTACCTAATAAAGTCGATATATTTAATCTAATATGATAGATACAAATTTTGGAGATCGATAGTCACATGTTGCCGTTATACAAAGGCATTGAAAACTTATCAATGTCATGTCACATAAGGCCACAAGGTAGCGCTGTACTCAGTATCTCGCGTGACCGACCCAGGCAGCAATCACGGCTCTGCATCTCCTCGGCACTGACTGGATAAGTGTACGAATTCTGTCCTGCGGAATTCTGCGCCATTCTGCGCCATTCTGCGCCGTTCTGCTTGTAACGCGTTGGGCAGTTGTGGGAGTGTCTGTTGCGTGTTCCGACGTTAACGTACACATCGATCGAGTTCATCCTAGAGGTGTTCGATTGGGTTGAGATCTAGAGATCTCGACGGCCAGGGCAAGTCGTTGATGTTGGCATTAAGTAGGTGGTCTACCGTGATACGAGCTGTGTGCGGTGGAGCGTTGTCATGTTGAAACTCCCTCTGGCGGTCAATGATTGGAAGAAGGTGAGGTTGAAGAATTTTATTCATGTAGCGATTTGCTGTCAAATATCCTTGAACCACAACCAAGTCAGATCTCGTGGTGTAGGATATGGCCCCCCACACCATGACACTACCGCCACCGAAATTGTCGAATTCACGTACACAATGTGGGGCAAACGCTCATTTCGACGAGGATAAACACGTTTTCTTCCGTCTCGCCGGTGAAGAAGAAATCGCGAGTCATCGCTAAATCACACTCGTCTCCAGTTTCACAGATTCCAGGGCTGTAAGGTATGGCACCAACGCAAGCGTCGCTGTCGATCGATCTGTTACAAAACAGGGACCGTAACGGGTCTTCTGGGTCGGATTCCGGCCTCGCGAAGATGGTTTCTGACAGTCTGGTCCGATATTCTCCTCAAACCAGGGATGCGACCCGCAGCCTCCGTAGATGTGGCATTGCGGTGACGTAGGTTGAACAGTCGAATGTAGCGATCATGGTAACTCTTGGTCGGCCGGTTCTCGGACGGTCTGCAGTGGAATTGAACTGTGTGTATCGATCCCAAAGGCGGCAAATGGTGCTGTGGTGGACGTTGAAGTGGCGTGCAACAGAAGACTACGATTCAACTCTTAGGATACGTCCTATGGCGATGCTCCGATCGGCAGGGCTGAGTCTCGGCATTCTCGAATTTGAAAAATGTTGACAATTGAATGACACTTTATTGGCTTATGCTTGCCTTTTTATAGCCACTACCGCGAGTTACGAATGCCATAACTTGCACGTGCATTTTGCTTTACTGTTTTCCTCCGTGACATTTTTGAACAAGTGTGAAAACAATGCCGTTAAAGATATTGCAAATCGACAATGGCTGCGTTTTGACCGCCGTTTGTCGAATATCAGGCCACCAACATTTTCCAATAACATATATCCAATGTATATACCGTATGTTTTGTGTAGTCAGGTTCAGTGAACTACATACTACCAGTGCGTTTTTATGTATTTGATGCTGGGTGAAAGGCCTCACAACCATGGCCTATTTTTTTATCTTAAAAGTGATTTGTAAAGGTCCCTTCACTCTGATCACCAGAAAAAACTGCCATAAAACATGACTGATAGTCAAGCCACAGTAAATGTCCCTGGCCGTTTTCAGGGAGAAAAGATCGATTCTAGTGCTCCTGGGCTCAAGGCATGGTTAAATGAAAACAGCCTCAATCCAACCCACCCAAGGCTAAAATCGGACAGAAAAGACAAAGAATGGTCTCATCAGAGTCGAAGACAGAACAGAACAGAAGACCACGAACCAAAGAGGAAAAAGCTTCAGCACAAACTTCTCCCAAGATCTTAATATGATCCTAACACCTCATGATATTGCCAAAGACCTGAAGCACAAATATATTATTAGAATAAATTAGCGTGGGAGAGACTACGTTGTTGTTGGGGACAACCTTACAGAATCAACTGACATGCCCAAAAGCATTAATGAAATCAATCTAAAATGGGATACCCCAAACTGCGCTGTAAACCAAAAGAAAATCAGTCAAGCAACAATCCTATTGGCGTTCAGGATCAAATCAATGGGCACGACATGCACATGAGTAGTAATCCTCACATTACTAGGCCAGTCAGTCCCAGACCGCCTTAATCTAGGTGGTAAGGGCATAGAAACTATGCCATACAGGAAAAGGCCAACCCAATGCACAAACTGTATGCTCTATGGGCACACGAAAACATCATCAGCAAACGCATAAATAATACGCCTACTCGGCAATCTGTATCCAAATCTATTCAACTCACTGAGGTAAAAGGTAAAAAAAACACACACACAAAAACTACTTATTGCATTTAGTACTTACTACTAAATGGCTATATTGCGCTTATCCAAAGCATAGGCTACTTACTGCTGTAACTCAATCACCCCTGTAACTAAATGACCCCCGGGTCAGCACCCTGCACCATGCCCGGGGCACTAGATCTCGCACTGTGGGGCCATAAGCGTAATCCCTACATCGTTCCATCGTCTATAGTCTACCATTCGCTCATCGTCTCTTTTCACGTACACACGTGTGTCGACGCATCTTATCGCTTTCGCTTCAAGAACCATCCATTTCAGCACTCATTGTATCGGATTTATTTCGCTCTGTGCTCGAAGTTAAACCCAGGGACATTTACCTCTCGTAAATTACCGCGTTCATCAACTCGACATTCTGTGATGCCTCCCAAGAGAAGAGCAGCCATCAACCACAAACTTGTGAGAGGAGAAAAGCAGGCAAGGACAACCGGGAGAGAAACGCAGGGAGTATGTATAGTATAGCCGGCAACAGCTGATGGTGAGTCTTCAAATAACGGGAATAACGAAGGTGGCACGTCCAAACGACGGTCCTTACAGACACAAGTGCATACTTATAATTGGTTTCAAAATGATTTTATATGCAATCAAAAGTTGTTAGGTCCATTCACAAAGCATACTAAAGATTATTCAATAACATAAGTGTAAGACATTTCCTCACACAATCCTCAACACCAACTTTCGAACTTTCGAACTGATGATGACTAAAATGAGTTAAAGTGAATATGATTTGTAAGACATTTTTTATTAGTTTACACAATATATATTTCTTCTTACTGCATGTGTAAAACACCATTTTGGGTAGATTCTGGGAAAGGGGGTAGATTCTGGAAGCAGTTTGGTAGCCTGTGCCTCCTTTGGCATATCACGTGATAATCACTCTACTGAGCAAACAATCTAATCTGTGAGCACTGATCCGCCTGCACACAGACAAAGAGCCACTGCTAAACGCAAGGGGAATAAGACCAAAGCCTCCAAATCAAACCTCATGGCTTCTGCTACTCAAACTTGGGTACACAACCAACAAATCCGTCAGGCAAAGAAAACACCAGCTCATGGTAAACAATAGGCTCAGATCACAAACAAAGTTGTAGAGATCATTGCCACTGCATTGATCCAAATTACAAGCAGGAAAATGAGAGCCAAACCCATGGTCACCTGCGTCCTCAAACTTGCTTCCAAAACACTGAAATACAAAGGAACAAAGAAACAGTTCCAAAATAGGGTATGCCCTGACATTCAATGAGCGCTCATCTTAACAACCATGGACTTGCTTTTATTACCATGGAACGCAAATGGTCTTAAAATCTATGGCACCAAACTAAATGCACTCGTTAAAAAACAGGTGATAAAGTCGCATGTCATCTTAATACAGGAGATACTCAGCAAAAAAGCCAAATTCACACCACCTGGGTACACCTAATATAGAAAAGACGGAAAAATACTTATGCCTGTCAACAAGGAGGGAGGACTAATCATCCTTGTCCAAGACAGCTATGAGAGGGGCGACGGTGCTTTGATACCCCCATCTATCCGTAAAAGGCAAACCAACAAATTCAAAAAGTCCGCAATATTTCTAGGGGTGATCCTACATCAACACCTCACTTCTAACAAACATATAGGATATGTGGAAAACAAATGTCAAAAAGACCTGAACGTATTACTGGCAATTTCAGGCATATATTGGGGCACCTCGGTGGACACTCAGCCGAACCTTTACAATCATTTATCAGATCAAAAATAGACCATGGTTCTGAGGCCTTTTACTCAGCATCAAACACTGTCATGAGCCGCCTTGACAGAATACAATACGAAGTCCTAATGCTGCCCACAGTTGCAGAAACAGGCACTTCCCTAGAAGCACTACAAGTAGAAACAGGAGAACTCCCATTGAAACTAAGAAGAGAGCAGGCAATACTATCAAACCCTTTGATGAAAAAGATATGGCAAGACAAAAACACCCGAGATGAAGCCCTAGCTCGGAAAACTCCCTCGCTAAAGCCATCTAGGATATTAGTACGTGAACTCACCCGAAGTCACAATTGTGGTGACATTCAGCCACTAGGAAGTCACTACAAAGGGTTACACTCTCCCTGGACTTTAAAAACTCTCAAAGTTGACACTGCTTTAACATCAGAAGTCTCTAAAAAGGAAAACCCAACCCTACTACGATAAGAAGCTATCATTAAAATTCAAACATGTGACAGCTGGGGTCATATATACACTGACGGATCCATGCATCCTATCAACAGCACTGCTAGTTACGGGATCCATATCCATAGCTCCAAACCCCAAGAACATTCGGTTCGCCTGCCTGATTTTCAGTCGGTATATACTTCTGAATTTGAGGCAGTTCATCATGCTCTCAAACTCATACCGGAAATGCCGGAAGCAAAGGCAGTCATCCTATCAGATTCGCTGAGTGCACTTCAAGCCATCAGCGACAGATACTCAAACTCCAGGCCAATAGTATTCAATACGAATATACAAAAATATCTAAGGGCAGCCGGTGGAGATAAGTTGGATGGTTACTTTGATAGTGATTTCGAACAATTGTAACTTGAACTGAAGTGACTTTGAAGGTAACTTGCCCAGTCACTCGCAACTATAAATAAACTTTGATACTTCTTGTTATCTGGTAGAACATGATCATTTTTGTATATTTATTTTTGCTTCATAAATAATATAATCTCTCACATTAATACCCCCAGTTATGTCTCTTGTTGAATACAATATGGTCCAGTCCATTCTTCACTGGGTAGACTTGTAACTATCAGAGCATATCTACACGGCCTTTAGACCATAACTTTTACTCATAAGTAAAGTTGGGTGTATCCTACCAATTCTACACGGCTCTGCTCGCTATATTCCGCTCGAGAGGTTTCTGCTCATATAATATCACGTGAGCTGACTTTTCTCTTGTTTCTAAATAAACGCAATTATTCTAAAGTAATAAAAGCCTTTGGGTGCACTTTACTTAATGGTTTGCAAATTGTAGCATATGAGGTTCAGAAGACAAGACTGGGACAGTATACTGGGACGACATCGTTCGAGATCATGTTCTACCCTTTGGGTAAATTCAGGGGCGTAACGTCACGTTCCATCAGGTTAATGCCCGCCCACATGTTGCACGTGTTGTAATAAACTTTTTGAGGCAGCATAACATTGCTGTTAGACCTACCCCCATAGAACCTGTCTGGGATGAGATGGGACGCCTACGACAGGACCAAAACCAACCTGTAACGCGTGCTGAGTTTTGGACTTTTGGAGCCACATCCCCAACATTGTTCTCAATCATCTGGTGACTTCAAAATGTCTCCGGTGCCTCGCCTGTATCGACGCAAATTGTGGTCACACCCGATACTGACATTTTAAATTGGGTTGTTACACCACCCCACTTTTTAGACGTGGCGTTCTAAATCTGTCTCCTGTTAACATGGATGTTTTAAACATATATATATATATATATATATGATAGAACAACTGCGACAGTGAAGTGCAAGATAATATAGTTTTACTCATCAAGGCGATCGAATCTCTTGCTCTTCGAAGGGCTTCGATGACAGCAAGTGGAGGATACATACGGAAATGGGAATTTTTTCACATTTTAGGATATTTTCTCAATGAAAGTTAAACATTTCATGACAAGTTTATCTAAATGTGTAGATTCGTCCAAGATGAAAAACATATACTGATTGGACTGTGTAAGATGTGACGATGTGCTGGCCGCAAGGAAAGTCGCAAGGAGGGTGATTGGCTTCATATGACCGGAGCAATTATATTGTCAACTAGGCTTCGACAAACACTGACAAAACTAATCCAATCAAGCTGGCAATTAGTATTTTGTAACTCATCCGTAAGAGAAACACATATGCTTTCTCTTCGTTTTGCCTCTAATAAAAACTTGATCGAAGTCAGTTATTGTGCGGAGCTCTATTGTTTTGGTTTGAGAGTTGAATCGTGCACTAAAGGTGTGACGTCACTCTCGGAAATTATTTCATTCATGATTAAAAAACACACACAGAACCGTCGACGTACTGTCCCTTTAAGATTAAACCTTTTGCACGAATTGTTTGGTGTTTGTTGTTTAACGCCGCAAAAATTCCAACTATATGACGGCGATCTGTAAATTTTCGAATCCGGGGCCAGACGATCCAGTGACAACCGACGATCCGACGACATGCATTGACCAAGACACCGAGCATAAAAGATGCAATGTGACAGTTTGAGGGACTTACTTGAAGCAGAAATCTGCAGCATGGACGAAGTACCTGGAGAGTGTACCGTGGTCGGGTGGTGTGGCACAGTACTTCATCTTCCCACACAGGTTGTAGCGGCCTGTCTTACACAGCCCACACGTGCGACACGGGACACCCGGCTTTATGGCCACCCGGTCACCTGCACACGTGAAGTAGAACCAATCAGATACACAGGCTGTCAACTACAAATGCATTATGTCAGAAACATGATATTTCTATATTTTTACTTACACGACGTGTGTGGATCTTTGATAATATTGGAAATGCAGCATGAGTGACTGGACTTATGCCACGTTTACCAATATCGCAAAATGATGACTTCATGAACTCTCTTTCCGGAACTCATGACTTGTCCTTCCTTCTATGAGGTTAAATGATTCAGAATGGATCTAATCCTTGTGGGATTTCGAGGCGGAATTGATCTGTAGTTCCGTTCGTGTAGGTCTGGATACATAACAACGGATGGTTCCCTGTGTGTGTGTGTGTGTGTGTGTGTGTGTGTGTGTGTGTGTGTGTGTGTGTGTGTGTGTGTGTGTGTGTGTGTGTGTGCGTGTGTGTTTTGAAACGTTATAATGGTACATTATATCACCTTGAGGATGCATTGCGCTCTACCTCTACCATCACCATTTAATGGAAGTTAGAATATTACAATGAAATAAGGCAACTAGCGTGACTACAGTGACTACAGTGACTAACAAGACCGCCTATTCCATCTGTGATGTATTATCCAGACACTTACCAACTTTAAGAGATTCCACGCCGTTCCCGACTTTGGAAACGACTCCGCTGGGTTCGTGTCCCATGACCATTGGTGTCCTGACCACTGAGTCGCCAATACAACCGTTTTGCCAGTAGCTGACATCAGAACCACATATACCTACATCGTGGATGCAGATTTGCACTTCTGGAAAAAAAGAAACAGATATGTCAGACAGGTAACAGCTTTTTGGTAGTCAGTACAGTACAGGTCGGAACTAGTACAACTTATTATACATGATGTAGGGTGTTACGGAACGAGTACCTATTGTTATACATGATGTAGGGTGTTACGGAACTAGTACCACTTGTTATACAAGATATAGGGTGTTACGGAACAAGTACCTCTTGTTATACATGATGTTGGGTGTTACGGAACTAGTACCACTTGGTATACATGATATAGGGTGTTACGGTACTAGTACCTCTTGTTATACATGGTGTAGGGTGTTACGGAACTAGTACCACTTGTTATACATGATGTTGGGTGTTACGGAACTAGTACCACTTGTTATACAAGATATAGGGTGTTACGGAACTAGTACCACTTGTTATACATGATGTTGGGTGTTACGGAACTAGTACCACTTGTTATACATGATGCAGGGTGTTACGGTACTAGTACCTCTTGTTATACAAGATAAAGGGTGTTACAGAACTAGTACCTCTTGTTATACATGATGTAGGGTGTTACGGAACTAGTACCTCTTGTTAAACATGATGTTGGGTGTTACGGAACTTGTACCACTTGTTATACATGATGTTGGGTGTTACGGAACTAGTACCACTTGTTATACAAGATATAGGGTGTTACGGAACAAATACCACTTGTTGTGCAATATGTAGGGTGTGACGGAACTATTACCTCTTGTTATACAAGATATAGGGTGTTACGGAACTAGTACCTCTTGTTATACATGATGTAGGGTGTTACGGAACTAGTACCTCTTGTTATACATGATGTAGGGTGTTACGGAACTAGTACCTCTTGTTATACATGATGTAGGGTGTTACGGAACTAGTACCACTTGTTATACATGATGTAGAGTGTTACGGAACTATTACCTCTTGTTATACAAGATATAGGGTGTTACGGAACTAGTACCTCTTGTTATATATGATGTTAGGTGTTACGGATCTAGTACGACTTGTTACACATGTTGTTAGGCGTTACGGAACTAGTACCACTTGTTATACAAGATATAGGATGTTACGGAACTATTACCTCTTGTTATACATGATGTTAGGTGTAACGGAACTATTACCACTTGTTATACAAGATGTAGGGCGTTATAAGATATATCTATGTCACTTATGTGAACTGTTTACCTCCGAGTCCTGGTTCAGGAATAGGACGATCCTTCTGTAACAAAGTATCACTGCACAACTGAATATAAATGCATATTGGAGACATGCTGTGTACATCCACAGACCACATGCTTAATGTTTAGGCTGTGTACATCCACATATCACATGCTACACGTTTAGGCTGTGTACATCTACAGACCACTTGCTACATGTTTAGGCTGTGTACATCCACAGACCACATGCTACATTTGAGGCTGTGTACATCCGCAGACCACTTGCTACATGTTTAGGCTGTGTACATCCACAGACCACATGCTACATTTGAGGCTGTGTACATCCTCCGACCACATGCTAAATTTGAGGCTGTGTACATCCACAGACCACTTGCTACATGTTTAGGCTGTATACATCCACAGGTCACATGCTACATGTTTAGGCTGTGTACATCCGTAGACCACATTCTACATGTTTAGGCTGTGTACATCCACCGTCCACTTGCTTAATGTTTAGGCTGTGTACATCCAGAGACCACATGCTACATTTGAAGCTGTGTACATCCTCAGACCACATGCTACATGTTTAGGCTGTGTACATCCATAGACCACTTGCTACATGTTTAGGCTGTGTACATCCAGAGACCACATGCTATATTTGAGGCTGTGTACATCCGCAGACCACTTGCTACATGTTTAGGCTGTGTACATCCACAGACCACATGCTACATGTTTAGGCTGTGTACATCCACAGACCACATGCTAAATTTGAGGCTGTGTACATCCACAGACCACATGCTACATGTTTAGGCTGTGTACATCCACAGACCACATGCTAAATTTGAGGCTGTGTACATCCACAGACCACATGCTAAATTTGAGGCTGTGTACATCCACAGACCACATTCTACATGTTTAGGCTATGTACATCCATAGACCACATGCTACATGTTTAGGTTGTGTACATCCACGGACCACATGCTACACGTTAAGGCTGTGTACATCCACAGCCCACATGCTACACGTTTAGGCTGTGTACATCCACAGACCAAATTTCTACATGTTTAGGCTGTGTACATCCACAGACCACATGCTACATTTGAGGCTGTGTACATCCACAGCCCACATGCTACACGTTTAGGCTGTGTACATCCACAGACCACATGCTACATTTGAGGCTGTGTACATCCACAGCCCACATGCTACACGTTTAGGCTGTGTACATCCACAGACCACATGCTACATGTTTAGGCTGTGTACATCCAGAGACCACTTGCTACATGTTTAGGTTGTGTACATCCACAGACCACATTCTACATGTTTAGGCTGTGTACATCCACAGACCATATGCTACATTTGAGACTGTGTACATCCTCCGACCACATGCTACATTTGAGGCTGTGTACATCCACAGACCACATGCTACATTTGAGGCTGTGTACATCCACAGACCACATGCTACACGTTTAGGCTGTGTACATCCACAGACCACATTCTACATGTTAAGGCTGTGTACATCCACAGACCACATGCTACACGTTTAGGCTGTGTACATCCACAGACCACATGCTACATTTGAGGCTGTGTACATCCACATCCAACATGCTCCATTTGAGGCTGTGTACATCCACATCCCACATGCTACATTTGATGCTGTGTACATCCACATCCCACATGCTACATTTGAGGCTGTGTACATCCACATCCCACATGCTACATTTGAGGCTGTGTACATCCACAGACCACATGCTACATTTGAGGCTGTGTACATCCACAGATCACATTCTACATTTGAAGCTGTGTAGATCCACAGACCATTTGCTACATTTTAGGCTGTGAACATCTACAGACCACTTGCTACATGATTAGGTTGTGTACATCCACAGACCACATTCTACATGTTTAGGCTGTATACATCCATAGACCACATTCTACATGTTTAGGCTGTGTACATCCACAGCCCACATGCTACACGTTTAGGCTGTGTACATCCACAGACCACATGCTACATGTTTAGGCTGTGTACATCCAGAGACCACTTGCTACATGTTTAGGTTGTGTACATCCACAGACCACATTCTACATGTTTAGGCTGTGTACATCCACAGACCATATGCTACATTTGAGACTGTGTACATCCTCCGACCACATGCTACATTTGAGGCTGTGTACATCCACAGACCACATGCTACATTTGAGGCTGTGTACATCCACAGACCACATGCTACACGTTTAGGCTGTGTACATCCACAGACCACATTCTACATGTTAAGGCTGTGTACATCCACAGACCACATGCTACACGTTTAGGCTGTGTACATCCACAGACCACATGCTACATTTGAGGCTGTGTACATCCACATCCAACATGCTCCATTTGAGGCTGTGTACATCCACATCCCACATGCTACATTTGATGCTGTGTACATCCACATCCCACATGCTACATTTGAGGCTGTGTACATCCACATCCCACATGCTACATTTGAGGCTGTGTACATCCACATCCCACATGCTACATTTGAGGCTGTGTACATCCACAGATCACATTCTACATTTGAAGCTGTGTAGATCCACAGACCATTTGCTACATTTTAGGCTGTGAACATCTACAGACCACTTGCTACATGATTAGGTTGTGTACATCCACAGACCACATTCTACATGTTTAGGCTGTATACATCCATAGACCACATTCTACATGTTTAGGCTGTGTACATCCACAGACCACATGCTACATTTGAGGCTGTGTATATCCACATACCACTTGCTACATGTTTCGGCTGTGTACATCCACAGACCATTTGCTACATTTGAAGCTGTGTAGATGCACAGACCATTTGTTACATTTTAGGCTGTGAACATCTACAGACCACTTGCTACATCGACAGAGCACCTGCTACATGTGTAGGCTGTGTACATGCACAGACCACATGCTACATCCACAGACCACTGGCTACATCCACAGACCACCTGGTACAGGTGTAGGCCGTTCACATCTACAGACCACTTGCTACATAGTGGATCTGTGCGTGTCATGGATAAATACGTCTCGTGCGTAAACATTGCCAATGAAGAGATGGGTTGTATATAGGACGATTCTCTTCACAAGAGCTTTTTTCACAGACCACAAGAATAAGAAGTTATGATTAGAATAATGACATGTTATTCCGTTCTAGTACCCAAGTCACTTCTCTGAAAAAGAAATAGTACACGACATTGATAAATTATTAAACTGCTGGAATAATTTAGAAATTGATAATAAAAATGGTTTCATCATTTACCCAGAGCTTAGGACTCATGTACACAGGCAGACACAGATGTACAATACATGTGTTGACCATACATGATTGATTTGCCACTACTTACTGGCGGTCGTCATGCATTGCCGGTATAGCAGTACATTCACTGTATGGTAGTGAGGCAACAATATGGCAAGCTGTGTTGAAGACAAACCAGTCCATGATGAGGCTGATTTGTTTTCTCGTCGCTGTGCGTTTATTATTGAGTTAACTGGTTGCCCTCCTGTCTCTGTACATCAGGATACACCTCTATATGAATGACTAGTTTATAAGCATTGCACTTTCTCAAACTCATCTTTGCATCAAAATTGAACCGGTTAATCATTTACAAAAAGAGAAAGATGCTCATTCCTAACCAACTTTGGTGTTTCTCGAAGACCGCAAAAAACATGTACTTTATTACATTCAAACGTACTGTCACCGACACAAGAGTGTTACGTACCAGTTGTAGATCTTGTTTGCCATAGAGAACCAGGGACAGATTTCTATCAGCCATTATCGGGATAGGGAGGCCAGTGTCCAAGTTTACAGTTAGCTTTCTGTCCAGCTCTCTCTATTATACATAGAGGGTCGTACAGTGTGTGATGGCGAATACGATCTTGTCTAGCATGAATAAATCATGAAGACATGAGGCATGTGATCAGAGAAGCATGCTTTGATTATAAAGAGTAGAAACCACTCTCGTAATCATAGACTTGCCATGTTATCACGTCTGTCACCAGGTCATCTTCAGGTCAGTATGCATATACATGTTACAGTCAATGTCTATTTTAAAGCAACATGTATATTGACTCAAATTGTATTACCGTAGTTGTGAAACCCATCAAATCCATCAAAATAGATCAAAATTAAAATGAGATTAAATTAAGGAGTCTAATTCATTTAAGTCAATCTGTCGTATTTTTCAGGCAATATGTGCATTGCCCGAGTAAATCAGTCAATATACGTGTTGCCTGATTATAGACATTGACTGTAACATATATACGGTATATCTGACAGAATCCTTCACTGGTATGAAGTTCTTCGAGTATATTTGTTATAATTTGAAGATATATATGTCGCGATAAAAATGTCGATATCAAGATGAATTTCTAGGATAGACTTATGGGAAACGTACAACCTGAGTATTTGATAGGGCTTCGCGTACAAAATCATAGACATAGTTAACAATTGACTTTAAACTATTTTTCTTGCGTTTATGGAGATACAAACGTAAAATCCGGTGTTCACACTCTGTAACACCGCGTACCAGTTTTACGCAAAATGTGCCCACCGGAGTCTACGTTTGTTCCCTTAAAAAAACGCAAAAAGAAAATAGGTTAAAGTTTTAATAAATAAATTAATCAATAATGATAACTTAACACACTACTTATTTAATCATGAACACACAGAATTGTAGACAATGATAAGAAATCAGTGACATCGTGCAGCGCAATAATGCAACACAAACCCCGCCCAATCTTGTATAAGCCAATCAGAAAGCAGTAGCCCGCTAGTGGGCGTGGCCTACGTTATTCGATTTATGGAAACATAAACGCAATCAATATTGCTTGATTAGCCAATCAAATGCCATGGAATCACTTGCAATTCATATATTGATGTACAAGGAAATACATACCACCGGATCAACTATATTTCACAGGCTAGAAAACTACATATTGTAGGTTGAGCCACGTTCTAAGAAAAATGCCATTACGACTTACAGTCTTTTGATAAAACTCTACAATTATAAAATAGAGAACATAAATTATTTGTGTATATCAAGTTGATATGCTAAATTCGTTTGCAGCTTTTTTAACCGAAACTTCGGTACATACATGTATACTACAAAGTGATATTACCCGCCTGTCACCACTGCCTTATGACACATGAATATACTGATGGAAACGAATAAGGCCATTGCCAGAAAAATCAAACTCGATATTTATTTAACATCGAATAGTAACATACATCAATATATACAAAATGCAGCTGTCTTTGACGGACCTTAAAACATTGTGCTTAACACATCGTACCTATACATCATTCATACTCCAATAGTCAAGTTTAATTAGAATTAGGAAATTTCTCAAATATACGAGTTAGCATCTCTGAATACTGTGATATTGATGTCCGATTCCTGGCTACTTGAAGTAAAATATTGCAAGACACAAAGCTTATCTCACAAACCATCGTATAATTTGGGTGAAAAACTGGTGGCAGTTTGACTATTTTCTAACGGTAATTTTCCATTATAATATATGGTATATGCAGTTTACGTGATTCAGTTTCACAGTGTAAAGTAGTGTAATATACTGCTCTAGTAATACTGGTATAATAAAACTGGTTACATACACTGAAAGGCAAAAGAAACGTCACTTCTGAAAACACTGATAAAACTTAACAGACACTGGCAGTTACATGTTCTGTGGTCAACAAACTCATTTATCATTCTGCTGCTTCTTTTTGTTGCCTTAAAGTCCATTTAACAATTGAGTTTAAAATGGAGTGCTTTGCCCAAACGCAGCCTACACAAGTGCAATGGGACTTAGTTGCGGAAAAGTCTTGTCAAAAACATGATGCACGTGCATATCGTGGATTGTATGGGTATAAAAGACACCCAAATGAGAGACAACAAGCTATCGGAAGACTGCAAGCAGGCCAGAGTGCAAAGGTCGTTGCAAATGCATTCAATGTCAATGTCAGAACAATATATCGTCTGCAACATCGCCACAACACCACCAACACCACCGACGACTGACCGCATAGTGGTCGTCCCAGAGTCACTTCTCCCAGACAAGATTGGTTCATGATACGCCAACATCTGCAGAACTGATTCCGAATGGCCACTGAAACAGTTCGGCAAACCATTGGCAACCACCAGCGTGCCATCAGTGATCGTACAGTCCGACGTCGCCTAACTGCCAACAGCATCTCGTACCACCGTCCTGCTCGTGTACCCATCCTGAGAGATCGTCACCGACAGGCCCGACTGCAAAGGACCAGGCAGCATCAAAATTGGCGTCAACAGCAATGGAGAAGAATCATCTTCACTGATGAAAGTCGCTACTGTGTTTCAACGGTGGATGGCAGAGTCAGGGTCTTGCGAAGGAGGGGCGAACGTTATGCTGATGCTAGTCTTATGGAACGAGACCCGTGGGGCGGCCCAAGCATCATGGTTTTGGGTGGAATAGGACTGAACCAAAGAGTGGGACCTGTGGTCTTTCAGAATATTGGTCCAGGCAGAGGTAATGGCATCACAGCTCTCCGCTACATTGACCAAGTCCTCAGACCCCATATCGTGCCTTTTTTTGCCCGTCATCAAAACCACACCTTTCAGCAAGACAACGCCCGTCTCCACACTGCCAGTCACCAGGGACTTCCTCCAGCAGCACAACATCCAAACCATGCCTTGGCCTGCCCTCAGTCCGGATTTGAATCCCATTGAACACTGATCACATTGATCCAACGCCGACTCAACGACGTACCCCCAAGGCCGACAACTGCAGCAGAACTGCGTGTAGCGTTCCTGAGGATATGGGCCTATATCCCAATGGCCTTCATCAACAGGCTAGTCCACTCCATTTACAGGAGATGTGTGGCTGTGGTCAACGCCCGTGGTGGCCACACCAGGTACTGATTTTGAACCCCCAAGCTGTGATGTCTTCTGGTGCCTCCCCAAATTCACAATTCGCAAAATCATTCCCCAGACTGTTAATTTCATGTGGGCCAAACACTGACTTTCTCCGATGTCTTTACTCACATATATAAGCATTTGAAAATAAAGATATTTGTATGATACATCCACATGACGTTTCTTTTGCCTTTCAGTGTATAATGCCTCTGTCCACCATGGGAACCTTTCCTGGTGTGAAACGCAGATTGACGCAGTGTCACTTTCTCTGACAGTTGATGATGATCTTAACTCCCTCTCTGAGTCTCGCTGCTTCGTAGGCGTCAAGCGCTTCCTCCAGCCTGTATCGGTGAGTGATAAGCTGCTTCACGTCCACCTGACCACCGGCCACCATGGCCAGAGCTGCAGGGTACCTGGAGAAAAGCGCTCAGCTTTACAGCAATGGGTGATAAAATAGCAAGTGACGATAGTCCAAAACGATGACGATGCAACATTTAGCTTAGATTTTAGTTATCATATCCGAAAAAAATATTTGGTGCAACAGTTCATTTACTGAGTGAATATATGTCAATCATACATTTATTTTGTAACGCTATATATTCTTGGCTACTCCACAAAGACCGTTGCATTCTTTTACTCCTATACTTACGTATTGGCAAACCTTATCATTCCCAGGATGTCGACCTCTCTACACTGGGCGCTGATCAGTGGCAGCTGTAGCTCTGCTGGGCCCAGTCCAACAAGAACAATCCTTCCTCCTGTTGCCGTGGCCTGGGGAAGATAACACATATACTTACGTCTACATAAAATGCCCTCGCTCGTACATGACGTCTTGCAGAATGAGCAACACGCACATATGTATAACAATCTATGGCTTTTTGGACTCCCCTTTCAGATATATTATGCTCTGCGTGGCACCTCTTACATATATGTCTGTAGTAACCCTCTGCTTAGTGTAGCAGCGTTTGGCAACAAAACATGTATGAGGAAGGTGACCCCAACGCAATGTTACAACTTATGGTTACAATTACATATGTGGCTGTGGTGACCCTCTGCGCAATGTTACAACGTATGGTTAGACTTACATATATGGGTGTGGTGACCCTCTACGCAATTCTACAACGTATGGTTACACTTACATAAATGGATGTTGTGACCCTCTGCGCAATGCTACAACGTATGGTTAGACTTACATATATGGGTGTGGTGACCCTCTGCGCAATGTTACAACGTATGGTTACCCTTACATATGTGGCTGTGGTGACCCTCTGCGCAATGTTTAAACGTATGGTTACACTTACATATGTGGCTGTGGTGACCCTCTGCGCAATGTTACAACGTATGGTTACACTTACATATATGGGTGTGGTGACCCTCTGCGCAATGTTACAACGTATGGTTACACTTACATATGTGGCTGTGGTGACCCTCTGCGCAATGTTAAAACGTATGGTTACACTTACATATATGGGTGTGGTGACCCTCTGCGCAATGTTACAACGTATGGTTAGACTTACATATATGGGTGTGGTGACCCTCTGCGCAATGTTACAACGTATGGTTAGACTTACATATGTGGCTGTGGTGACCCTCTGCGCAATGTTACAACGTATGGTTAGACTTACTTATATGGGTGTGGTGACCCTCTGCGCAATGCTACAACGTATGGTTACACTTACAAATGTGACTGCGGTGACCCTCTACGCAATGTTACAATGTGTGCTTACACTTACATATATGGCTGTGGTGACGCTTGACGGCGCGCCACTGCACTCGATGGTAACATCAGCAGCACCTCCAAGTGAATCCTGGATGGTACGTGCTGTTTGTTGTGGGTCTCCCGCCAGAACAATGTGGTCAGCGCCCACCCTCTTTGCATATTTCAGTCTGTCTTCATTGATATCTGCAATAGGAAAGTACATACGTGTCTTTTGATGCACTTTTATGTAATAAGTAACTGAGTGAGTCTTCATCGATATCGACAATAAGAAACTGCACAAAGCACTGTTAATCCAACATGACCCAGAGTCATCATGACTGAATGCGAAAGGATCTCAAAACAATCTCAAGCTATTACTATTACCTTTATTCCATATTTTCAGAATAACTAATCCGTAATTCGGAATATGCGAGCAGGTTATTCACTTATATTACCCATAGTCTTGCCCGGAGTAGAATTAATCCCAAGTAACCGGTGCTTAGCTTGTGGAAAGATTCGATTAAATGGATATGGTGATTAGGCTCTGTAACTTTTTGATTTCGTGCCATCGTGCCCCTGTCACTGGCTTGGTACTCAATTCACAGCATCGTTCACTCAGCCATTCCATCTGAGAGAAGGTAGAAACATGTGGGTTTCTCGATCTCAAATGAAAATATTAGCTCAGTAAAACGACGTCACATAAAAACGTACATGACGTCATTAACAATGGACGACGTCAGATTCAGACTTTTACGACAATGTGTTGATATCTCGACACGTAGCTATGGGCCTCTTCGCAAAACAGTGGAACAACTGTCGAAAACCAGCCAATCAGCATAAAGCAAAAAGTAAAATGCTCAATGAGAAAATATTTTCAACTATATCCGTGCCTCTGTGAAGATACATGTTTAACAACAGACCTGTTATTATTATCTTTGCTGCTCCTCGTGCTCGTGCCGTCAACATGCAGATAAGACCAACAGGCCCTGCAATGGCATGCGTTAAACATATGTTCATACACTTCAAGGAAATCGTACATCTGTTCATACACTTCAAGGAAAGCGTACAGGGATCAGGACCTATTTCGGCATTTCATTCAAATCACTGCCTGACCAATGTCATTATGGTTCCTTTGTTTTCCTTGTATATATTTCCACCTATAAAACAACGAAGTCTAACTTGGACCAAGAAACGAAGACAAGTTGAAGATAATACACGTGACGCATTGCAGTTGTATAGGGAAGAGAAAACGACGTTTATTTATTTAGGTGTGTCGATTGACAACATCGCCAACCTTTAACAAGTGTGTGGCTTTGGGTAGGTAACAACATCGCCAACCTTTAACAAGTGTGTGGCTTTGGGGTGGTAATAACATCGCCTACCTTTAACAAGTGTGTGGCTTTGGGGTGGTAACAACATCGCCAACCTTTAACAAGTGTGTGGCTTTGGGGTGGTAACAACATCGCCAACCTTTAACACGTTTGTGGCTTTTGGGTGGTAATAACATCGCCTACCTTTAACAAGTTTGTGGCTTTGGGGTGGTAACAACATCGCCAACCTTTAACAAGTATGTGGCTTTGGGGTGGTAACAACATCGCCTACCTTTAACGAGTGTGTGGCTTTGGGGTAGTAACAACATCGGCTACCTTTAACAAGTGTGTGGTTTTTTGGTGGTAACAACATCGCCTACCTTTAACAAGTGTGTGGCTTTTGGTCGGTAACAACATCGCATGCCTTTAACAAGTGTGTGGCTTTGGTGTGGTAACAACATCGCCTACCTTTAACAAGTGTGTGGCTTTGGGGTGGTAACAACATCGCCTACCTTTAACAAGTGTGTGGTTTTTTGGTGGTAACAACATCGCCTACCTTTAACAAGTGTGTGGCCTTTGGGTGGTAACAACATCGCATGCCTTTAAGAAGTGTGTGGCTTTGGTGTGGTAACAACATCGCCTACCTTTAAGAAATGTGTTGCTTTTGGGTGGTAACAACATCGCCTACCTGCGTGTAGTGCAAGGCTTTGGGGTGGTAACACCATCGCCTACCTGCGTCAAGTGGGTAGCTCAGGTTTGGTAACAACATCGCCTACCTGCTCCACACACGAGCACTGTGGCTCCCAGGTAGACGTTGACACGGTTACAGGCGTGGACAGCAACAGCCAGAAAAGACAAAGAATGGTCTCATCAGAGTCGAAGACAGAACAGAACAGAAGACCACGAACCAAAGAGGAAAAAGCTTCAGCACAAACTTCTCCCAAGATCTTAATATGATCCTAACACCTCATGATATTGCCAAAGACCTGAAGCACAAATATATTATTAGAATAAATTAGCGTGGGAGAGACTACGTTGTTGTTGGGGACAACCTTACAGAATCAACTGACATGCCCAAAAGCATTAATGAAAGCAATCTAAAATGGGATACCCCAAAGTGCGCTGTAAACCAAAAGAAAATCAGTCAAGCAACAATCCTATTGGCGTTCAGGATCAAATCAATGGGCACGACATGCACATGAGTAGTAATCCTCACATTACTAGGCCAGTCAGTCCTAGACCGCCTTAATCTAGGTGGTAAGGGCATAGAAACTATGCCATACAGGAAAAGGCCAACCCAATGCACAAACTGTATGCTCTATGGGCACACGAAAACATCATCAGCAAACGCATAAATAATACGCCTACTCGGCAATCTGTATCCAAATCTATTCAACTCACTGAGGTAAAAAAAACACACACACAAAAACAAGCGACTACTTATTGCATTTAGTACTTACTACTAAATGGCTACATTGCGCTTATCCAAAGCATAGGCTACTTACTGCTGTAACTCAATCACCCCTGTAACTAAATGACCCCCGGGTCAGCACGTGGCTTGGGGCTGGTAACAACCTCGCCTACCCTGTCAAGTGCGTGGCTTGGGGCTGGTAACAGCATCGCCTACCCTGTCAAGTGCGTGGCTTGGGGCTGGTAACAGCATCGCTTCCATGTGTCAAGTGCGTGGCTTAGATCTGTTAACAACATCGACCAGATGTGTCAAGTATGTGGCTTGGAGCTACCTACCTGTGGTATCAAGTGTGTGGCTTAGGGGTGGTAACAACATCGCCTACCTGTGTCAAGTGTGTAGCTCGGGTTTGGTAACAGCTTCGCTTACCTGTGTCAAGTTGTGGCTTGGAGCTGGTAACAACATCGCCTACCTGCGTGTAGTGCAAGGCTTTGGGGTGGTAACACCATCGCCTACCTGCGTCAAGTGGGTAGCTCAGGTTTGGTAACAACATCGCCTACCTGCTCCACACACGAGCACTGTGGCTCCCAGGTAGACGTTGACACGGTTACAGGCGTGGACAGCAACAGCCAGAGGCTGCAACATGGCTCCCTCCTCCATGCTCACGTTGTCTGGAAGTCTGGGTTGTAAAACAAAGTGTGGTATCATTATCATTACACGTTAAATAAAAGTTCTTTGATTGGCAGTATGGATGGATGGATGGATGGATGGATGAATGAATGGATGGATGGATGAATGGATGTCCTGATGTCATAATATTTTATGTGACGTCACCTGCTTGTGACACATCACAACTGACCTTGTTCGGACTTCTAGTTACTTCTGGGTTGTAAAACATAGTGTATTGCAGCGTGCCACAGCACGGCACAGCACAGCACAGCAGAGCACAGCATAACAGAGCATAGGATAGCAGTTCTGCATTACGTCATCGGTATCTGCCTATACTTTCAAAATTCAACATTTTCCATGAGTTTTGTAAAGAATGCAATCTTGCAGTTTGAGGGACTTACTTGAAGCAGAAATCTGCAGCATGGACGAAATACCTGGAGAGTGTACCGTGGTCGGGTGGTGTGGCACAGTACTTCATCATCCCGCACAGGTTGTAGCGGCCTGTCTTACACAGCCCACACGTGCGACACGGGACACCCGGCTCTATGGCCACCCGGTCACCTGCACACGTGAAGTAGAACCAATCAGATACACAGGTTGTAGCGGCCTGTCGTACACTGCCCACACGTGCAACACGGGACACCCGGCTCTATGTCACCAATCAGACACGCAGGTTGTAGCCGTGAAATCGAATTGTTAATATAGCGTGTCATCACTAATCAATAGAGTGTCTTGCTGAAGCAGGCTTGTTAACATTCTACAATCAGCAATTAGTAGCTATCCTATTGATGATGAAGCTATCACCCACTAACTCACTCACGTTGGACACTTACCAACTTTGAGAGTTTCCACGCCCTCCCCGACTTTCGAAACTACTCCGCTGGGTTCGTGTCCCATGACCATTGGTGTCCTTACCACCATGTCGCCAATACAACCGTTCTGCCAGTAGCTGACATCAGAACCACATATACCCACATCGTGGATGCAGATTTGCACTTCTGGAAACATGGACATACGTAATCGTCGTCAGTAGTATTTAACCTCACACGCACACGATCATGCGTTAATATATGCACACACACACACACACACACACACACACACACACACACACACACACACACACACACACACACACACACACACACACACACACACACACACATGCTATGCTCATATACACTAGTTGGTGTAGACAATTTGTAAAGCTTATGAGGGATAAATGCACATTTCTCTGATATCGATCATTCCTAATGGATAATACTGTTGATATACACAATGTGTCTCAAGCTATGCTGGGAAAAGTCTTCCACGCGGATAAACTGTCTAGCTACCTCCGTATCCTGGTTCAGGTTTCGGGCGATCCTCCTACGAAACAAAGAAGACATCGATAATATATGATACAACATATCTTGGAAAATGACCCAACAACAAAGTACTAGCCAAATTCTACCTTTCCCTCTTGTATATTTTTGTTATCATTGAGAGTCAGGTTTTTAACAAGAGATGCTGTCATTACACTTATTTTAAACTTGGTTAGATCTCGAGCTGGTCATCTTCGCGACTCTATCGTGTCGTACGAACAAACAAGATATTGCAGATCTCCGGCTTTTAAATGTGCATTATGTGAAGACGCCATTTTCATCCGCAATGTTCAACATCCACGATCAACCGATGAAACTGGCTACCATCTGGTCACAAAACATCGCCTTTAAACTCAAACTGAACACAATGCACATCAGCACAACACACTGTACCCATTCCAACACTCCACACTATAGCCATGTCAACACGAGATACAATAGCCACACCAACACCGCACTCAATAGCCACGTCAACACTACACACAATAGCCATGTCAACACGAGATACAAAAGCCACACCAACACCGCACACAATAGCCACGTCAACACTACACACAATAGCCACGTCAACACTACACACAATAGCAATGTCAACACGACATACAATAGCCACACCAACACCGCACTCAATAGCCACGTCAACACTACACACAATAGCCACGCCAACACCGCACACAATAGCAATGTCAACACGACATACAATAGCCACAACAACACCGCACACAAAAGCCACGTCAACACTACACGATAAAGCCATGTCAACACGACATACAATAGCCACACCAACACCGCACACAAAAGCCACGTCAACACTACACACTATAGCCATGTCAACACGAGATACAATAGCCACACCAACACCGCACACAATAGCCACGTCAACACTACACACAATAGCCATGTCAACACGAGATACAATAGCCACACCAACACCGCACACAATAGCAACGTCAACACTACGCACTAGAGCCATGTCAACACGAGATACAATAGCTTCACCAACACCGCACACAATAGCCACGTCAACACTACACACAATAGCCATTTCAACGTGAGATACAATAGCCACACCAACACCGAACATAATAGCCACGTCAAAACTACACATTATAGCCACGTCAAAACTACGCACGGTAGTCATGTCAACACGAGATACAATAGCCACACCAACACCGCACACAATAGCCACGTCAACACGAGATACAATAGCCACACCAACACCGCACACAATAGCAACACCAACACCGCACACAATAGCCACGCCAACACGCCACACTATAGTCACGTCAACACGAGATACAATAGCGACACCAACACCGCACACAATAGCCACGTCAACGTGAGATACAATAGCCACACAAACACCCCACACAATAGCCACGCCAACACTACACACAATAGCCACGTCAACACTCCACACGGCGAAACCGCATTATCAGTTCATATTGGGAAAGGGAGGTCACTCTAATTTCAAACGGGAGCTATCTCCGTTGTTTTCGTATTTGCGAGAAATGGCGTCACCCACGCTGCACGTTGTTGGTCCAGCTATTAAATGCCCAGCTTATCCCTAAGGTAAAACGTAAGGTAATTAAATGTTTGAATGCATTATATATTTATGTTTCCATCAGTACATCTTCTAAGATTGGTTTAGTGGTGATAACCATTTTCTAAAATGTGGGCCCACATTTTTCCCGTCATCTATGGTGATCGAAACAAGTGGGCCCACATTTGTATTTCGCCTAGCTTCGTTAGGTTGTTTCGTTAGTTCTGATAATCAATCCCTAAATGTGGGCAGACGTTCTTCCGTCATATTGATTGCAACAGGAGGGACCACATTTATTAATCGCGAAATTCTACTTAAATATTGATAATCATTTTCTCAAATGTGGGCCCACATTGTTCCCGTCATATATGGTGATCGAAACAAGTGGGCCCACATTTGTATATCGCCTAGTGGGTAGACGTTCTTCCGTCATAGTGATTGCAAAAGGAGGGACCACATTAAAAAATCGCTAGCTTCATTAGCTTTGCTTACTTATAACCACTTTCTAAAATGTGGGCCCACATTGTTCCCGTCTTATAGTGATCGAAACAGGTGGGCCCACATTTTTAAATCGCTGGGTTTCATAAGGTTGACGAAGTCATTTAGGCTATTGGGCTCACGTTTGTCATTATGTGACATTTTATATTATTCATATTTTGTAATATTGATGGGAAATATTTTTATAAATCATTTCGTGTGACATTAATTCCATAAAAGGCACAAAAGTCTTTGAAGTTTGAATAACTGCGTCATAGCTGACCACACTAGTTTTACAAAAATAGCTACCAAGCAAGAAACTTAAATCTACTTCAAATTAAAATTACAGAGGCAATACCACTCATTCTACCTTTTCCAGTATAACACATCAATCTAATCATAAGTGTTGGTGGCGATATAAGCCTGAACATATGTCTACACTTGAATTGATCTCGCACATGATACAAGCCTCAGACGTTTCCGAGAACTTGTTCCATAAAAGGAATAACTCATGAATATTAATAACCCCACAACCTAGTTTGGCGATGTTCGTAGAAGTGAGTTCTGCTGTATTGCCATCTTATTTGTACATTTTAATCCAATTATAAGTCATAATACTTATTTTAAATAGACAAATTATGAGTTCGTTATGCGGGTTTGTTTACGTAGTATATATTCTCAACAACAAGTGCGTTTAGTTTCGAATGTGGGCCCACCTCGAACTTTCGATTAGGCAAACGGAGTTAGCTCCCTTCTCGAACCACCGATAATGCGGTTTCGCCCTCCACACTATAGCCATGTCAACACGAGATACAATACCTTCACCAACACCGCACACAATAGCCACGTCAACACTACACACAATAGCCATGTCTTGAAGAGATACAATAGCCACACTAACACCGCACACAATAGCCACGTCAACACTACACACACTAGCCATGTCTTGACGAGATACAATAGCCACACCAACACCGCACACAATAGCCACGTCAACACTACGCACTAGAGCCATGTCTTGACGAGATACAATAGCCACACCAACACCGCACACAATAGCCACGTCAACACTACACACAATAGCCACACCAACACCGCACACAATAGCCACACCAACACCGCACACAATAGCCATGTCAACACGACATACAATAGCCACGTCGACACTACACACAATAGACACACCAACACCGCACACAATAGCCACACCAACACCGCACACAATAGCCATGTCAACACGACATACAATAGCCACGTCGACACTACACACAATAGACACACCAACACCGCACACAATAGCCATGTCAACACGAGATAAAATAGCCACACCAACACCGCACACAATAGCCACGTCAACACTACACACAATAGCCATGTCAACACGACATACAATAGCCACGTCGACACTACACACAATAGACACACCAACACCGCACACAATAGCCACACCAACACCGCACACAATAGCCATGTCAACACGAGATAAAATAGCCACACCAACACCGCACACAATAGCCACGTCAACACTACACACAATAGCCATGTCTACACAAGATACAATAGCCAAACCAACACCGCACACAATAGCAACGTCAACACTCCACACAAAAGCCATGTCAACACGACATACAATAGCCACACCAACACCGCACACAAAAGCCACGTCAACACTACACACTATAGCCATGTCAACACGAGAGACAATAGCCACACCAACACCGCACACAATAGCCACCTCAACACTACACACTATAGCCATGTCAACACGACATACAATAGCCACACCAACACCGCACACAATAGCCACATCAACACTACACACTATAGCCATGTCAACACGACATACAATAGCCACACCAACACCGCACACAATAGCCACGTCCACACTCCACACTTTAGCCATGTAAACACGAGATACAATAGCCACACCAACACCGCACACAATAGCCACGTCAACACGAGATACAATAGTCACACCAACACCGCACACAATAGCCATGTCAACACTCCACGCTATAGCCATGTCAACACGAGATACAATAGCCACACCAACACCGAACACAATAGCCACGTCAACACTCCACGCTATAGCCATGTCAACACGAGATACAATAGCCACACCAACACCGCACACAATAGCAACGTCAACACGAGATGCAATAGTCACACCAACACCGCACACAATAGCCACGTCAATACTGCACACTATAGCCATGTCAACACGAGATACAATAGCCACAGCAACACCGCACACAATAGCCACGTCAACACTCCACGCTATAGCCACGTCAACGTGAGATACAATAGCCACGCCAACACTACACACAATAGCCACGTCAACACTCCACACTATAGCCATGTCAACACGAGATACAATAGCTTCACCAACACCGCACACAATAGCATTGTCAACACTACACACTATAGCCATGTCAACACGAGATACAATAGCCATACCAACACCGCACACAAAAGCCACGTCAACACTCCACACAATAGCCATGTCTACACAAGATACAATAGCCACACCAACACCGCACACAATAGCCCAGTCAACACGAGATACAATAGCCACACCAACACTACACACAATAGCCATGTCTACACGAGATACAATAGCAACACCAACACCGCACACAATAGCCTCGTCAACACTCCACACTATAGCCATGTCAACACGACAAAAATAGGCACACCAACACCGCACACAATAGCCACGTCAACACTCCACACTATAGCCATGTCAACACGAGATACAATAGCCACATCAACACTACACACAATAGCCACGTCAACACTACACACTATAGCCATGTCAACACGACATACAATAGCCACACCAACACAGCACACAATAGCCATGTCAACACTACGTACTAGAGCCATGTCAACACGAGATACAATAGCCACATCAACACCGCACACAATAGCCATGTCAACACTACACACAGTAGCCATGTCTACACGATATACAATAGCCACACCAACACCGAACACAATAGCCACGTCAAAACTACACACTATAGCCATGTCTACACGAGATACAAAAGCCACACCAACACCGCACACAATAGCCACACCAACACTGCACACAATAGCCACACCAACACCGCACACAATAGCCATGTCAACACGACATACAATAGCCACGTCGACACTACACACAATAGACACACCAACACTCCACAATATAGCCATGTCAACACGAGATAAAATAGCCACACCAACACCGCACACAATAGCCACGTCAACACTACACACAATAGCCATGTCTACACAAGATACAATAGCCACACCAACACCGCACACAATAGCAACGTCAACACTCCACACAAAAGCCATGTCAACACGACATACAATAGCCACACAAACACCGCACACAAAAGCCACGTCAACACTACACACTATAGCCATGTCAACACGAGATACAATAGCCACACCAACACCGCACACAATAGCCACGTCAACACTACACACTATAGCCATGTCAACACGACATACAATAGCCACACCAACACCGCACACAATAGCCACGTCCACACTCCACACTTTAGCCATGTAAACACGAGATACAATAGCCACACCAACACCGCACACAATAGCCACGTCAACACTACGCACTAGAGCCATGTCTACACGAGATACAATAGCCACAGCAACACCGCACACAAAAGCCACATCAACACTCCACACTTTAGCCATGTAAATACTTAACACTAAAGTCATATCAACACCGCACACAGTACCCACGTCAACACTCCACCCTATAGCCACCTCAACACTACACACGATCACCACGTCAACATTACACATTCTAGCCACGTCAACACTACACACAAGAGACATATCAACAATACACACTAAAGTCATTTCTACACTACACACTGTAGCCATGTTAACACTTCACGCAAGAGACATGTCAACACTAACCACAATAGCAATAAAAAACACCGGACACAATAGACATATATCTTATCTTTACTCAGTACTCCAACTTCTAAATGCCTCTCAAAGAAGTTGTAAGCACAAAACAGTATATTCATATCAACACTCCGCAATATAGCAATTTTAAAACATAGCAACTACAACAATACCTACACAACATACCAACCCATGTTAACACTTCAAAATCTATTCATGTCAATACAACCACAATGATATATACAATTACAATGGCATTGACAACCACAATGACATATACAATTACAATGACATACACAATCACAATGACATAAACAACCACAATGGCATAAACAATCACAAAGAAATTCCCAACCACAATGACAAACACAATCACAATGACATACACAATCCTAATGACATACACAATCACAATGAGATACACAGTCCTTCATACTTGTACTTCTCCGCGGCAATGGAGAGAGAAATCATGATCGTGCATACATCAGTTCGTTGCTGAGTCCTCATGGCAGTTAGGACACGATATACGAGTTAAATATATGTATTTCTATCAAAAAAGGCAAGACATGTATTTATGAAACTCTCTACAAAAGCAACACTCGATAACAATACCAAGAACAGTGATAAACTATGTATTACGAGGCAAGTCATGCATGTTGTGCATCCGTGACGTTACCGCCATGGGCGTATGACCCCAGTAAACATTGCTTGTCTACCTCCAAAGCGTCCAATATATTTACACAACCTTGACGCCTTCTATGAAAACACACTTAATCATACTGCTACAACTTACATACCAGTCGCAGATCTTGTTTGCCATAAAGAACCAGGGATAGGTTTTCATCAGCCATTGTGGGGATATGGAGGTGAGTGTCAAAGTTCAAGGTCCCTATCTGGTACGTCAGAGTAAATCCATTCATACACATGCTGGTTTTAGGTTTTAGAATATCTTGAAGTGATGATGGATTTGCTGACTGACTGACTGACTGACACGGTATTGTTTTTGCACTTCGAATTCGCTACTAATTTTCATCTTCCCTGGTGAGAACAAGGGGCGGTCGGGTAGCTTGGGTACAATGTGTGAAGCCCATTTCTGGTGTCCCCCGCCGTGATATTGCTGGGATATTTCTAGAAGCGGCATAAAACTATATTCACATATTACTCGCGCGCTGACCACTAAGAAACTGGTATGAAACCATATAATCATGTATGAATTGTGGATGCATGTTTGACGAGACAGCGTTCAGTGTATTGTCAGCAGTAATTGGCAGCTAAACGTTTGGCATTCGATTTCAACACTATGACGATTTCGTATAATTATTTCACAATACTGTCTCTCACGAAACTGTTCTGTTGTGCGTGTTATCGTGACACAGTCAATAAGTCAATTGCGGCTGATAACTAATACATGAAGGCGGAATTTATGTTATTTGAACATAGGCAACATACAGACACAGAGATGTGAATGATGTTATTTGTATGCAGACAGCATACAAACATAAGTGTGAATGGTGCTATTTGTTGCTTTCAGTCATACAGGTGTGAATTATGCTGTTTGTATCCTAATAGCTTTCTGTCATACAGACGTGAATGATGCTGTTTGTATCCTGATACTTTCAGTCATACAGACGTGAATGATGCTGTTTGTATCCTGATAGCTTTCAGTCATACAGACGTGAATCATGCTGTTTGTATCATGATACTTTCAGTCATACAAAAGTGAATGATGCTGTTTGTATCCTGATACTTTCAGTCATACAGACATGAATGGTGCTGTTTGTATCCTGATACTTTCAGCCATACAGACGTGAATGATGTTGTTTGTATCATGATAGCTCTGAGTCATACAGACTTGAATGGTGCTGTTTGTATCCTGATAGCTCTCAGTCATACAGACGTGAATGATGCTAGCGCTGTTTGTATCCTGATACTTTCAGTCATACAGACGTGAATGATGCTGTTTGTATTCTGATAGCTCTCAGTCATACAGACGTGAATGATGCTGTTTGTATCCTGATACTTTCAGTCATACAGACATGAATGGTGCTGTTTGTATCCTGATAGCTCTCAGTCATACAGACGTCAATGATGCTGTTTGTATCCTGATACTTTCAGTCATACAGACGTGAATGATGCTGTTTGTATCCTGATACTTTCAGTCATACAGACGCGAATGATGCTGTTTGTATCCTGATACTTTCAGTCATACAGACGTGAATGATGCTGTTTGTATCCTGATACTTTCAGTCATACAGACGTGAATGATGCTGTTTGTATCCTGATAGCTTTCAGTCGTATAGACGTGAACGATGCTGTTTGTATCCTGATACTTTCAGTCATACAGACATGAATGGTGCTGTTTGTATCCTGATAGCTTTTAGTCATACAGACGTGAATGATGCTGTTTGTATCCTTATACTTTCAGCCATACAGGCGTGAATGATGCTGTTTGTATCCTGATAGCTCTGAGTCATACAGACGTGAATGATGCTGTTTGTATCCTGATACTTTCAGTCATACAGGCGTGAATGATGCTGTTTGTATTCTGATAGCTCTGAGTCATACAGACGTGAATCATGCTGTTTGTATCCTGATACTTTCAGCCATACAGACGTGAATGGTGCTGTTTGTATCCTGATAGCTCTGAGTCATACAGACGTGAATGATGCTGTTTGTATCCTGATACTTTCAGTCATACAGACATGAATGGTGCTGTTTGTATCCTGATACTTTCAGTCATACAGACGTGAATGATGCTGTTTGTATCCTGATACTTTCAGTCATACAGACGTTAACGATGGTGTTTGTATCCTGATAGCTTTCAGTCCCATAGACATGAATGGTGCTGTTTGTATCCTGATAGCTTTCATTCATACAGACATGAATGGTGCTGTTTGTATCCTGATAGCTTTTAGTCATACAGACGTCAATGATGCTGTTTGTATTCTGATAGCTCTCAGTCATACAGACGTGAATGATGCTGTTTGTATCCTGATACTTTCAGTCATACAGACATGAATGGTGCTGTTTGTATCCTGATAGCTCTCAGTCATACAGACGTCAATGATGCTGTTTGTATCCTGATACTTTCAGTCATACAGACGTGAATGATGCTGTTTGTATCCTGATACTTTCAGTCATACAGACGCGAATGATGCTGTTTGTATCCTGATACTTTCAGTCATACAGACGTGAATGATGCTGTTTGTATCCTGATACTTTCAGTCATACAGACGTGAATGATGCTGTTTGTATCCTGATAGCTTTCAGTCGTACAGACGTGAACGATGCTGTTTGTATCCTGATAGCTTTCAGTCATACAGACATGAATGGTGCTGTTTGTATCCTGATAGCTTTTAGTCATACAGACGTGAATGATGCTGTTTGTATCCTTATACTTTCAGCCATACAGGCGTGAATGATGCTGTTTGTATCCTGATAGCTCTGAGTCATACAAACGTGAATGATGCTGTTTGTATCCTTATACTTTCAGTCATACAGGCGTGAATGATGCTGTTTGTATTCTGATAGCTCTGAGTCATACAGACGTGAATGATGCTGTTTGTATCCTGATACTTTCAGTCATACAGACATGAATGGTGCTGTTTGTATCCTGATACTTTCAGTCATACAGACGTGAATGATGCTGTTTGTATCCTGATACTTTCAGTCATACAGACGTTAACGATGGTGTTTGTATCCTGATAGCTTTCAGTCCCATAGACATGAATGGTGCTGTTTGTATCCTGATAGCTCTCACTCATACAGGCGTGAATGATGCTGTTTGTATCCTGATACTTTCAGTCATACAGACGAGAATGATGCTGTTTGTATCCTGATAGCTTTCAGTCATACAGACGTGAATGATGCTGTTTGTATCCTGATATTTTCAGTCATACTGACGTAAATGATGCTGTTTGTATCCTGATACTTTCAGCCACACAGACGTGAACGATGCTGTTTGTATCCTGATAGCTTTCAGTCATACAGACATGAATGGTGCTGTTTGTATCCTGATAGCTTTCAGTCAAACAGACGTGAATGATGCTGTTTGTATCCTGATAGCTCTCACTCATACAGGCGTGAATGATGCTGTTTGTATCCTGATACTTTCAGTCATACAGACGTAAATGATGCTGTTTGTATCCTGATACTTTCAGCCATACAGACGTGAACGATGCTGTTTGTATCCTGATAGCTTTCAGTCATACAGACATGAATGGTGCTGTTTGTATCCTGATAGCTTTCAGTCATACAGACGTGAATGATGCTGTTTGTATCCTGATAGCTCTCACTCATACAGGCGTGAATGATGCTGTTTGTATCCTGATACTTTCAGTCATACAGACGTAAATGATGCTGTTTGTATCCTGATACTTTCAGCCATACAGACGTGAACGATGCTGTTTGTATCCTGATAGCTTTCAGTCATACAGACATGAATGGTGCTGTTTGTATCCTGATAGCTTTCAGTCAAACAGACGTGAATGATGCTGTTTGTATCCTGATAGCTCTCACTCATACAGGCGTGAATGATGCTGTTTGTATCCTGATACTTTCAGTCATACAGACGTAAATGATGCTGTTTGTATCCTGATACTTTCAGCCATACAGACGTGAACGATGCTGTTTGTATCATGATAGCTTTCAGTCATACAGACATGAATGGTGCTGTTTGTATCCTGATAGCTTTCAGTCATACAGACGAGAATGATGCTGTTTGTATCCTGATAGCTCTCACTCATACAGGCGTGAATGATGCTGTTTGTATCCTGATACTTTCAGTCATACAGACGAGAATGATGCTGTTTGTATCCTGATAGCTTTCAGTCATACAGACGTGAATGATGCTGTTTGTATCCTGATAGCTTTCAGTCATACAGATGTGAATGATGCTGTTTATATCCTGATAGCTTTCAGTCATACAGACATGAATGATGCTGTTTGTATCTTGATAGATCTCAGTCATACAGTCGCGAATGATGCAGTTGGTATCATGATAGCTTACAGTCATACAGACGTGAATGATGCTGTTTGTATCCTGATACTTTCAGTCATACAGACGTGAATGATGCTGTTTGTATCCTGATACTTTCAGTCATACAGACATGAATGCTGCTGTTTGTATCCTGATATTTTCAGTCATACAGACGTAAATTATGCTGTTTGTATCCTGATACTTTCAGTCATACAGACATGAATGATGCTGTTTGTATCCTGATACTTTCAGTCATACAGACGTAAATGATGCTGTTTGTATCCTGATAGCTCTCAGTCATACAGACGCGAATGATGCAGTTGGTATCACGATAGCTTACAGTAATACAGTCGTTAATGATGCTGCTTCTCGTCTGATAACCTACTTGTAATAAGACCAGAATAATGATGACGACAGTAATTTAAGGGGTGAAGTTTTCTTGTTTTAATCTGACGTCAGACAGTATTTGAGAAGTGAAATACGAACTAAGAATTTCACAACCGTACTGTTTACTATTTCATACATGTAATCCACTGACAACTTGCTCATGAACAAATATATAGAATAGGCCAGAGACATTTCAGGGCACTTATACAATGAATAAGGACCGACGGGGAAATAGCAAACATTGTGCCAGACCGCTCTTCCTCACACCCGATGACATCATCAGCCACGTGATCCTTGCTGCTTGCCTAGATACTCTGAGGCTGTAAGATATTTGACAGAATGATGGTAATATATAAAATTTATGTCGTGAAATGTCAGAACTGGGGATTTTTTGCTGTGGACCCTTTGTGTTAGATTGCGATCGATCTGTTCCCACTAGAGCATGTTCTAAAGAAGAAAGAACAAAGTAAACAGGCATGAATTAGGGATATTGTACACGATCCCATGATGCT